GGGAGGGCCGCGCAAGTGGCCTGCCCAAATACTATCGTGGGCTTCTTTGAATGCCAGAGGCCAGTACACGGCTGGTAGCACAATCTTGTCGCCGTCTTCCCGCGCCGCATACACAAGACCGTCGCCATGGACAACAATACGTTGTCCTTGATAAGCACCCCGCCGTCTTAACGTCTGCTCCATGACCGACTTTTCCTGTTCCCGCTTGATGTCCGCGTCCGTGAACTGCACTGTACCAAGCTCGGCTGCATCTACTCGATATACAGCGACCGTACTCATGATTTCCTTAACGGCATCGTGGATCATCGCGGCTTCTTCGCCCAAGGTAGGCCTCCGGGAGCCTACTGTATCAGCGTTTGGCTGATCGTCTGGTGAAATTGCAACTTGTGCACAGTAGCTAGATTGCAGGCCATGTCCTGGAGAAGAGCTCCGCTTGCTCTGTGAAACCGACTGATCGAACATTCCCAAAGCCCACGCCAGAGCTTCCGTTGCTGCAGAGGTGATCTTCTGTTTAATCCCGTGGACAATCGTCTCCCGCGCGTCACTTGGTGAGAGTTCCCCACAATATTCTGGTGCTTCAGCTGTGTCCTTGTTGGCCCCGTTGACTGCGTTTGAGCTTCGACTTGGATTTTCACGGTCTTCTGGACTTCCGTTCGCCGCCCCGCCAATGCCCTTGACTGAAGCTATCGTCTTGGTGTTCTCGTCCGGAACCGGGCCCCTTGATAGGGCGTCGGCCACGCGGTTCTCCGTTCCTGGCCGGTACACGATATCGAAATCATACTCTTGTAATGCCAACGCCAATCGTTGCAAGCGTCCCGCGAGCTCTTTGCTCTCCATCAACCACCGCAAAGCCACGTGATCGGTCACCACAGTAAACTTCCTTTCATAGAGATGTGGCCTAAACAACTTCACCGCCCAGACGACCGCGAGGCATTCGAGCTCGCTCGCACCGTAGTTCGCCTCGGTTGCGTTGCATACTCGCGAGGCGAAAGCAACAGGCTGGTCACCCCGCCCTTGGTTTTGTGAAAGTACAGCACCGAATCCAACCTTCGACGCGTCCGTTGTCAGCTTGAAAGGTAAGCGGTAGTCGGGATAGATCAGCACTGGTTTTTGCGAGAGCTACGCCTTGGCCCAATTAAATGCATCGTCCTGCTCCTGCGTCCAATCCCAGGCACTCGTTTGCCTTAGCCGCTTAGTCAGAGGCGCCATGCAGGATCCAAAATCCTTGATGAATCTTCGATAATACCCGGCTAGCGCCACAAATCTGCGTACGTCTGCAGTGTTCTGTGGTGTGGGAAAATCTTTCACCGCCTTCTCCAATCGCTCAGCGGGGCGTACACCTTCCGGCGTCAACTCGTGGCCTAAGTACTCCATGCGGGTGGCAGCGAAGCGGCACTTGCTTGCCTTCAGGCTGAGTCCAGTATTCGCGAGGCGCTCCAGCACCGAAGCCAGCTCGACAACATGCCGCGCCACGGACCCTCGAGTGAATACGATGACGTCGTCTAAGTATACGAGGCTGCTGACCCATGTGAGACCTCTCAGCACACACGTGCTCGGGGCATTGCAGAGCCCGAACGGCATTCGGCAAAATTGAAAGAGTCCTTTTCGCGTCGTGAATGCAGTCTTCGGTTTATCTTCCGGCGCCACTGCTAGTTGCCAATAACCAGCATGTAAATCAAGTGAAGTGTACCGCTCGGTGCCGTGCATTGCTTCTAGTGTTTCATCAATTCTGGGCAACGGATACACGTCCTTGATTGTCACGGCATTCAGCGCTCGGTAATCCACACAAAAGCGAACAGTGCCATCTTTCTTGCGCACCAACACTACTGGGAATCGCCGTCGTTGAGCATTGACTGCACCTCCTCGTCAATAATTACATTCTCAGAGACCGCGTGCCATCGACGTCCCATCATGATCGGGGCCGCTGTCCCTGTATTAATGTGGTGCTGAACTCCGGTAGTAGATAGAGGCGGACATCGTTCCTTTTTCTCGACGATGCAAGCATATTGCCTCAAAAGAGCAATCACGAGCTCTCTGTCTGCATCCTCCATTTCACCTAAGTCCAAACTGTCTTCGTTCGTCAGCGGTACTGTGTTCTCCGACCGCAGAGTAGCAACCCACGACGCTACTCGCTCTCGCTCCAGCTCTCCATTCATCAAGAGAATCTCCGTTGTTTCATCTGTCGGAACCCAAGTACCCAAAGCCGCTCGTGCCGGAAGCTTTTCCCGCCGCCCAGCGATATTGAGAACGGCCACTTTAGCCAAGCCATTTTTCACAATGCTCAGAGTTGGAGCCAGGAGCAGGTGCATCTTGCTGGAGGGCTTTGGTATGAAGATTCCAGTGGTGTTATCCTCAGCGTCTATCTTCACTTGCACTGTGCTACGTGTGTTGGTTGGCAACTTCACTGTCCTGGCCATCCTCACCGTGGCCGCGCGCCTTCTCGTTGCGTCCAGCAACGACGTGACTCCATAACAAGTGAAAGGAACGATCACTTTCCGCCCTTGCGCATCTAGGTACTTCAATTCACGTTTCCCGAAGTCCATTTTGGCTTGATGTTCCACCATCCAATCTTCACCAAGCAGCAACTCGTCATCCTGGCCATCGACTACTAGCGCATGGATTGTTACTGTTTGCTGATATTTGGTCGTACCTCTGAATTCCCAAACACCCAGCACGCGTAGTTGACCACCTCCAAAGCCTTCAACGGCATCCACGGGGGCACTTAGCGAAATACAACGCCCGTGCCGACGCAGACCTGAGCCAGCGACACTATACTGGGCGCATGTATCCAGCCGAACTTCTTGAGTGTGTTTCTTGCTTAGAGCAAGCAGCGCCGTTGGCAAGCTGCTGGGCACTCCACTCCCAACAGCCCGCAACTGGGCGACCCGCAGCATGTTGCCATTGTCATCTTTCGTCAATTCAAGATCCCCGTAGTGACCTTGACGTTCATAGCGATACGCACGTCGTGGCGGATGCTTCATTTCCTCGTCCTTCGCGCTCTTTCCCGCAGCTACCGCAGCGTCCAGCCGGGGCTTATACGCCGCTCGTTGCTGCAACCGTCGGCGCCGCTGTGCTGCTTTGAACTCCTTCATTTCCTTTTTTGCGAGCCGACGCACTGCGCGCATCTCCTCCAAACTGCCAATTTCTTCCAGGTATTGTGGCACACGAGCTTCAAACTGCTGGACTCTCCTTGCCCACTCTTCGTCGGTGTCAAGGTGCCCTTGGTCATTTTGCTCTGGCATTTTCGCCACCGCCGGTACCCGGACGGTTTTGCCAGATTGCCCTGAAGTCTGCACACAGTGGTCTAGCCCTCGCCCATTCTGAGCCAGCTTAGCGGCGACGCGGCGTACGAGTACGACAGCTTTTTGAAATTCGCGCTGCCGTTGGTGTTTCTGAACAATATCGGCCACCTCACCCAAGTCTGACACCAGTTGCTTCACCGCCACACGCAGGACGCGTGCACGGTCGCGCTCCTCCTCCCTTAGTTCCTCTAGCAATATCCCTCGAACAGTAGCCATGTCACTCTCGGCGCGGCGCTGCCGGCGTCTGGCAGCTGGTGATGTTCCTCCGCTTACTCGTAGCCTGACGTTCAGCGGGCCGCTGGGATAAGTGCTCCTTGAAGGCTGGTCAGCATAATCGGGAAGGTTGGTATCCTCATCCATGGTTCTCGAAGGATGATCAGCACTGCCCTCCGGCCTCGCTTCAGTAGATGGAAGCTGTTGATCATTTTCCACATTAAGCGCATCAATGGCTTCCAATATTTCTGACCGACTCCGCTCCATTTGAGGCTCATCTTCCGCTTCTGCCTTGCTCTCCCTTTCGTGCTCATCCATAACGCGCGAGGTATTCACCATCTCGTCCGCTCGTTTCTCCTCCTTGATCTCTCCATCCTCGGTGGACAGGTCTACTTCGCTATCTTGTGCCACCGACGTCTTGTCTTTCCATCGCGACCGACGTCGGTGTCGCTTCGCCCGTCGTCGCAAGGTGTTCCCTCCAGTTGCTTCGGTTTTGGGGTTTGCTTCTTCTGGCAGCAGAGTCCCCGCCTCTACTGCCTCTACGCGTTTCCCGCAGGCGCTGTTGCCGATGGCTGCTGGTTGTTTCCAGTGTTGTTAGGGGTTGTTGTACCACCGATCATACGCTGTACATGCCGCGCTTGCAAGTCCGCCAACCTTAGCTCGCATTCGCGTTGCCAGTGGCCATTCTGGCCGCAATAGTGACACGTCGAGTCTGCTTTTCGTTCGGCAATACTGCGCCCATCGTGTTGGTAGTTTGCGCTCGGGTTTGCCCACTTGTCCTCGACTTGATTATAGTTGCTTGCCTCGGCCCGCTTGAAAACCACGACCTCCTTGAAACCCACGACCTCCTTGCCCATTGTGTCCGTTGTAGCCGCCACGACTACCAAATGTACCTCAGCCACCAAATGCGCCTCGCCCACCGTAATAACCACGGCCACCGAAGTCTCCACGTCCAGCGTAGTTACCGCGACCACCGTAATATCCGCCGTATGGACCGCCTCCATATTGCTGGGGGTATTCGTCGCCTGGCGTGGTGTCGTGCGTCTGCTGGTTGTCCCCGCGCGCCCAACTGTTCATCTGCTCGGTCGGCGACAGAGCCAACGGGGCTGCTCCGCCTTGGGCCTCTTGGTTGCTGACGCTGACTTCAAACGACCGAGCCACCTTAGGCTTGTTTCTACTCGCCGCGGGTTTTGTCGTTGGCTTCTGGCCCGTCGTTGCAGCCATTGTCGCCACGGCTATGGCTTGAAGCGCGGTCAATGGGAGTGAACCTTCTTGACCAATTCCTTTGACCGCAGGCAAGCCTCGCAGTTGGCGGCCATCGCGATCAAACATGGGCCGGGTTGCATCATCTTGGCCCAGATTCAGTCCAAGCCTTGCCAAATCGAGCTCTGCCGTCACCTCGGCGGAGGACTTCATACCGCTAGCTGCAGTAATACTTGCCGAATCCCCTGGTCGCTCTGCCCGGTATTGCCGTGCCGCCACTTGTCAACTTGTCACCTCGCAGCCTTCTCCGTATTGGCCACAGAACTCGACAGCGTAACTCACGGCATCTTCCAAGGTAGACGGTCTTGCTGTCCGTACGGATTGCACGAATACACGGTTGTTCATGCCCCGAATAAATGCATCGACATAGCATTCGGCTGTGACTCCTGGATTCTCAGCACCAATTTCGGTAAGACTGTTGGCGTAGTCTAGCAGCCGTTCTCCGGGTTGCCGTCGGTGCTGCACCAACCTAAGTTGCGTCTCCCACACGTTTACTTTACTGCCATAGGTATCGAGCAGCCTAGATCGCAGGAAGTCTAAGGTACGGCAGTTCGGTGCGATGTGTGCGTTCAAGCGATGAAACCACTGACCGGCAGGACCTTTCAAATGCGCCGATACACCGTAGTACTCTCGCTCCGTCCAGACTTCTCCATATAGTGCGAGCTGCCGTTGAACAGCGTTGGGAATTGCCACTAGCCACGCAGCCACATTTTCCCCGGCGGCGCCAGTGAAGTCCTCAATCTCCAGTCTCTTTTTCTTTGATCGCGAATCCAGCACGGTCGTCGTTGGCACTGCCGAAGGTGATGGTGGTGGCGGTGCCGTTGTGGCCGCCATTGGCGCTGGAGTCAGCAACAGCAATGCCATGGCCCGCTGTTGCTCGGGTGACAAGGTATCCCACCAATGCCTCGTGGTGTCAGTCTTCTGTTCTTCATCATCATCATGTCTTCTAGGCCTCTTACGTGCTTGGCTGGAACGGGCAACGCTTCTTACTCGACCGGCACTTCCGCCGCTACCGCGCTAGTGATCACCACCTCCGGAATCACTTTCACCGCCAGTAGCACCTGGATTATGACCCTCATCCGCTGTAATCACCGAAGTGCTAACTTCAACATCTTCTTCTCCGCCTTGACCATGTGGTGTAGCGGGATCGGCCAAAATCTGGTTAAGGCCTGATCGAGCTTCCCATCAGCGCCCAGACACCGACTAACGGAGGGGGTTCCCCAACGATCCGTGATCGGCCGAACTTATTCTCACCTTGTGTACCCGTCGGCGGGCTGGATCTGCTCTCTCGGGGCTCCGATGATGCAGCACTTGGTGAAGATCGAGTGTCTTGGCGTGACGCGGGGATAGTGTGTGGAGCAGCGCGGTAGTCTTCGCTCTGCGTCCGAGTATACGCTCCGATCGAGGGTTGTTCGCTGCGATCGGTCGGCCTGGAGTTAATCCAAGGCCTGTAGTTACCTTTCCGGGTGTGTTCCTTCCTTTCCTGAGTTGCTTGCCGCTTCCTATAGCGGGATCGAGGTTGATCGAGAGGAGGAACGATCGCCGGCCAAGCACCAATATCCGGTCGATCGAGGACTTGCACACAAGAGATAGATCACTAGAGTAGGTCAAGCTGACCAATGTATTAATCCAGTCTTAATCGTACCGCTAGTTCACTACCCAAAGTGTCGACACTGCCGAGGCCAAGGTAGTTCCTGGGACTTGGTGACCTGAGGGGACTTGTGCTCTTCGGTGCAAATTCTGCTCTGATTTATGTTTAGCTGGTCTCTCCCTAATGCTACCATCTTTTTGCTTACCCTCCTACAACCACACGATTACTGGATTCTTGTCCCGACTTCGTCCTTCCTGTGCGTCCCATCCTGGTCGATCCACGATCAGCCCCGATCGGCCCTGATCGGCGATCGGCGATCAACTCCAGATCGATGACTTATGCCGGTTGCCATGCGCCGCCGATCCATCACCTTCTGTCCTCGGCCATCCCAGATCCGCGAGTTCTGTCGTCGATCTGGACTTGGGTCGGCTCCGAATCACGCCGCGGTTCGAGCACGATCACCCACAATACGGCTTGCCACATGTCCTGCCTCACGCGCCGGTGTCATCGGACCACCTGAGATCTCCCGAAGAACTCCTTCTGATCCGTAGATCCTTGCGGCCTGTCTCTCGATCGCCGATCTCTCATGCCTCCAGTCGATCGGCCCTGCCGCCTTTCTCCGACAACAATTCTTATTCAGCACTTCTCCACAACCATCATCAACTACGACTCGGGTGCGCTCTTCAACGCGGCGTCGCTTACGTTCGGGCAGCGCGGCGTCCGTCACTGGCGTCCCAGAACTTCGTGTCGTAGCACCTGGACTCGCTGGCGCACTCTTGCGCGCAGACTGGCGTGTCATCCCACCTCTCAGCACTGCTAAAAAAAAATCTCGTTGCTGCGGCTCCGTTCGTGCCCGCTGAATCGAAGTCTCGTGAAGGCAAACTCACACGAAAGCCAACCGTGTTGATTCGCCCCTGTATGACCACCAAGAAAGCACTCCTCCTGTTACCCGCGCCCTGTTGCCTTGCCCGGGCCTTGTCGCGGCCGCTTCCGAGGTCTCCGGTGGCAACTTCTGACGAACTCCGTAAATGTAAACACACAAGTCACGATCAAAGCCGCAGTGACCACTGATTGCACGTGAGGTCCTCCAGCTCCTCTCACGAGTAACACACAACGTCCGACAGAGTTCACCAGTCGATATCCCAGGCGCACCACACGTCCTCTAAACTCAGGACTTGAACCGGAGCTCTGCGTCAGGGACTTGAACCCACTGAGGGACTTGAACCCGTCGCTGCTCTGCAGGGACTCGAACCCACGGAGGGACTTGAACCCGTTGTTGCTTGGCAGGGACTCGAACCCGGTGTGCTGGCCTGCAGGGACTCGAACCCGCTCAAGGGCTTGATCCTGCTGTCGTGCCTCGGGGCTGGGACCTGTTGCTCTCCAGGGACTCGAACCTGTCCAGGGACTTGAACTCACTGCCGTCAGCCGGGGACTTGAACCCGCCCAGGGACTCAAACCCGTCACTCTCAGCTGTGGACTTGAACCACTCGTGGGCGTGCGACGCAGGCGCTGGTAACAGAAGTAAGGCTACTTGGCTTGTCAATCAATGTATTTCTTGGTTACGATCGCTTCCTCCTGCCTCAACGTCTCGACCGACGGAGGCTTCTTCTGGCTGCTGGAGGTGACTTGCTCGCGCTTGTCACCAACTTGGTAAATCTTCAACTGGCTGCTCTGCCACTCCCAGCAGCGTCTCGGCGCCACTCGCTCGATACGATCTTCGGCACGCGACCCTCTGCACGAGCTCCACGCCGCCTCACAGCGCGATCTTATGGCCACCGCGGCGCCTCGCGGCGCGATCATCTGTGTCTGCTGCTGGCTGCCGCACGTTTCGTCCCTTGGCTCAACTTACCTGCAAGATCGCATCGCTTCGTCCTTGGTCGTTTTATCCAGCTGCTTCTTTGGTCTCCAACTGCTTCGCTCGTCTCCTGCTGCCGTGTTGTAGCGTCCTGGCTGGTCGTCTTGTGTACACTTCTGCTGTTAACGCTTCCGTCCTCGAGCCAACGCTTTCCGTGGCCTAGTGTAGATTCCTGATCTCCAATCCGCGATGGTCGCGCAACACCTTTGCTTACTCCAACATCGGTAGAGCAAAGTTGCGTCGAGTTCCGGGTGACGGGAGTTCGTCAGTTGAAGGCAATAGCAAGGAGGGACAAGATGAGTCCACAAACGGTTGAACAAGGCAACTTGATGGAGGAATTTTTTATTAATCCTTGAACAACCAGGACAAGTACGGGTAAGCAGCATGCAGCTACCAAGAGAATCGCCATTAGTGGTGATGATGAAATCTTCTTTAGGATTTTAATGGCTATCATAGTAGTCCAAATAAAATCTCTTCTACTACTAGTGATCCATCCCTTCGTCACGATACGGTGCCATCTGTACTCAATACTGGTATCAGCCTTCATTCGCCTAAAGAGTGTACAGCTTGAAGCCGATTGCTGCATGAGCCGGGATAGATAGATTACTTGACCAGTGTCCTTGTAATCCCTTCAAGTGACGTCGTAATCAACCATCCCTGTGTTGCACGAAGAGCTGAGTCCGGCGTCGCGGTCGCCTGCCAACCTCGAGCTCATTTCGGAATTCACCGACAACCTCCTACCCACCTCCACCCCCAACACCCCCAAGTACCATGGCCCTCGCTGCGTCCGACGCCAAGTCCAACCGCATGACCTACCGCTTCCTGGGCAACTCCGGTCTGCTGATCTCCAAGCTCTCGCTCGGCAGCTGGATGGACGTCAACGACCAGTACACGGCCGACACCTGGTACGCCATGATGAAGCTGGCCTTCCAGCACGGCGTCAACTTCTTCGACAACGCTGAGGCGTACGGCGGAGGTCTGGCCGAGAGGAACATGGGTGCGGCCATCAACAAGGGCGTCGCCGAGGGCACGTGGAGCCGCGAGGACCTCGTCATCTCCACCAAGATCTTCTTCGGGTTCAAGCCGTTGGGGTCCAAGGACGGCCCGAACGCCCAGGGCCTGAGCCGCAAGCACATCGTCGAGGGCGCCAAGGCCTCGCTCAAGAGACTCGACCAGCAGTACGTGGACATCATCTTCTGCCACCGTCTGGACCCGTTCACGCCCATCGAGGAGACTGTGCGAGCCTTGAACTTCGTTGGGGCATCGAGGCCGTGGACAAGATCACGCCCGAGATCAACGCGGATATCGACGCGCTGATTCCGTTCGTGCCGGAGCTGTCGACGACCGATGCGACGGCCGGGCTGCGCTCGCAGCACCTGTAAACGGTGGGCAGACTTTTGGCTAGCATTGAAGCAAGTTATGGAATTGCCTGAAAGCTCGATCATCGGTTGTACTGTTCCCCCTTACTCACAAAATACAAGTCGTTCGCCAGTTTTACTCACAAAATACATGTCACGGGCCGTGACATGTGACTCACGGCTGACGTGTGAAGAAGGCAAGTATTTTTTCTTCTTCAATCCTCGATCAACAACTGTCATCGTATATGTACTTGCAATTCATCTTCGGGCTCGTACACTACGCGCACTGCCGCCGTTATGTATGATAGTATGTACTCGGTCTTGAGCCCGGTTCGTCTACAATCGCTTCAACTCAGCGACCGAGCACACGAACGAACAAACTCACGACGACGTTTTTTGCGGTGTAACTACCGCGTAACGACGGGGTTCAAGTTGAACTGCTCAACTGGCCCCTTCAGCTCGGCTGAGTTCACCCTTGCGTTGCGTAAAGACCGCAACGCCACGAACGCCTTGATTCCAACCTGCAACGACCTGACAATTTCTTCTCAACGCCTAAACGAACTGCAGCGCTTACACGACGCAACCATGGAAGCCACAGCAAAGGAAGAGGACGAACTCGCAACTCGTAAAGCAGCTTCTCAAACTTTCAAGTTGTTGTATTATTCTCACTAAATATCCATGCAGTTCTCGTCATCGTAGTGACAGCTAGTTAATTGTACTTTGTAGAGGGCCCAGCGCTGCCCGCGCTCTGAGGACAGCGCCGACCGAGATGCAGCGCACTGAGAGCGCCCAGCTTCAGTTCGCTGGGGCTCCAGCGAAGACCACGAATCCATACGCGCGACTTGTTTAGGTTCAGGTGTCGATGACGTGGCGTAGGTAGCCCCAGCTTCATTCAGTGCGCCGAGTTTGCGACTGCCGGTTGAGTTACTGGGGCTGGCTGTTGTTGTTGTCGTCCTGCTCGGACGCGCCTTCGCCGAAGTACTCGCTCACGCTGACGACGCTCTTGGTACGTTGCCGCATACTTGCTGGTGGTATCAGAAGGTGGGGGTATGGAGGTGGAGTTCTTGTCCTTCCTGGTGCTTGGGGAGAGCTCTGTGTCGCCACGAGTCCTTTTGGGAAATGAACGTCGCTTTGAGCGGGAGGAGGAAGACGACGCGACACAGCGACGAGCGCGAACAGACGATAAGTTCCGCCCTTGCGCGACTCGCATGCCGTCGCGTTGTGCCGCCAGCCGCTCTGGGCGCTGGGCTCGACTCGTGGGCCACTCGCCCTGGGCAGCGGCCCCGCTTTCTGCGCGCCGGCTGGGGCTCGGCGGCGCCCTGGGGAATCCACCGCCGCTCGCTGTCGCAGTGAGTGAGTCGAGCGCCCAAAAGTTTCGGCTTGGTCTGCGAGCCTTCGCGGGTGGGTGGGTGGTGGTGGCCACCGTTGAGCTGAGCTCGAGCTGCTCGAGCGCATTGTCGTGGCCCGTGGCGCCCAGCCCGGAAGCGCCCGGTTGGCCCGTTTCGTTCGGGTTGACACGGCCCGGGGGATCCCGACGCGACTGCAGCCAGCAAAAACCAACCAACGCGTTGGTGCCGAAGAGAGCACACCGCTTCATGCATGTACTTCGTGCATGCGGGCCGCCGCGCTCGCCGCCACCTACGCTTTCCAACGCCGTGTTTTTGCAGGGGCCGGCGACGTTCCCTCCTTCCTCGTCTGCGGGCGGGCGGGCGGCCCGGATGCATGCATCGCTCGCCTCGGCGGCGGCGTGGGACGTGCGTCAGTAGGGATATTAGCAGCGAGGGCGTTCCCTTCCGGATCCCAAAGCCCATCGGTCCGCCGCCAGCAGCAGCAGCAGCCAGCCAGCGTTGGATTTTCAACGCCCGAAACACTCATTGAGCGCTGCAACGACAGCGAAACGAGCACGGCGGCGGCGCCGTTGCCCAGGCACGCCAGCGATCGATCGCTGCCGCTGCCGCTGGCGAAAGATATTGATGATACTCGGGTAGAATCGCCGCCGCAAGCCAGCCCCCGTTTCGCTCGATGGCCCGTCGACTGACTCCATGCCGCGTCGCGTGCATAGACCGCGCCACTGGATAGCGGGCTAGGGTCGAGCGTCACCGGACTCAATCAAGTGCTTCAACTTTCGGGCCCGGGACACGGTCGCCGCTATTTGGGCGGAGGGCGGGGGGGGGGGGGGGGGGGGGGCAGCAAGCAGCAAGCAGCAAGCTTGCAACGCTGGAAAACTTGCCAGCAGCCGAATCAGCTCGGAGGCCGCGAGCGCCATGAGCTCCGATCGGCGTGGCCGGCGGCAGAGCTCGCGAGCGCCGCTCGACAATGCAAAAAAAAAATCAAAAATTAGCGCCAGCGCTACGTGGGCCATGCAGTCTGCAGTGCAGTCAGCTCCGCCCGACGCCCATGGACCGCTACGCGGGCGGCGTCGCCCACCGACACGACACGACTCGGCGAGCGCGCCGCAACCCGCCTTTGGCTTCCATCGACTCGCCCCGTTCCCCTACTATCGCATGGTCGAGCCGTCGTCCTGCGGGCGGAGCTGAGCAGCCCACACCTTCTACGAGCCCGAGCCCGTCTACTTCAAAAGTTGGCTCCCCCTAATACGAGAGCCAAAAGTCGCACAAAACGGGCTCCCTCATGGTAAGTACGAGATCAAGGAGCCCTGGTTCGGGCTCCCCATTGGCTCCCCTCCAGAGCTCCCCAAATTTAGCTTCAAATCTATGACGGGCTCTTCATAGTAATATCTGATTGGCCAATTTTACCTAGACTTAAGGCGAGCAACTTCGCGTGATTGATGCGCCACGCTACAAGATCGAGCTCAAAGATAACCACACTAGAAGGTCTCGCGCCGCTCATATGTGGACAGCCGCTCCGAGGCCACCCCAGCGTCGCCGATCGTCCTTCCTTCCCCTCAAGGAGAAGTCCTCTTTCCTATGCCTTTTCAGGTTAGAACCTGGAGATACTTCAATGACGGCCAATCATCAGCGAGATATTTAACACAGGTGAGGGGAAGCCCTTAACGAGGGCTCACAGTTCTGGAGGGCTCCTTTCACTTAACCTATTGACCTCAAGAGCCCAGGAGCCCGAGCTCGCGACTTTTTGGGTTCACCCAAGAGCCCAGGAGCCCGGCTCTCCCCAGGGCTCGTAGAAGGTGTGGAGCAGCCTTTGCTGTCTTCAGCGTGTAGTGTACATTAGCGGCGTTGCGTTGCGGTATACCATCCGCTCGACGACAGTGCATGCCTGCCTTGCCTTGCATGCTTGCTTGAGGCTCGTTGCCCGACCGGCGGACAGGCCAAACAATATACACGGAGGATCACGAAGGAGGATCCTCCGCGTCTTACGCTGTCGTCGCCGGCGAGCGCACACATCGCACCGGACCAGCGAGCGAGATCCGGTCGCGCAGGTCGCTCTCTTGGCCTCCCCCGGGCTTGCGGGCACCCAACCCCCTATATGCACTTTTGTCACATTGACACTGCCGGTCTCTGGTTTCGCGCAGACTCGGCTTGCTCTCCCCTTTGCCTGCTTGGTGGCGAGCAGTAACAGCACCAAAGCACTTGTAGCACCGCCCGCGGCGTCGCATACAGCGCTGGCTGGATGTTGGGGTGATTTCTTTCGCAGCGCAGCGCGTGCAGGAAGGAGCTCGCCAACAGCTGGATGACCCCCGTCGGCAATGCGAGGAAGGAAGCCTAGGCTAGGGCTCGGCGCGTTAGGCAGCGAAACAGCGGCTTGAGGCCTTGACTACCCGCTGGCGCTACACCCGCGCTGTAACGGAACCAGCGGCGTACATCGCCACGAAAGCGAAGAACAGCAGGGCAACTCAAACGTGGGCAGCGCCGACGGTAACGACACCCGGTTGGTGGGCGGACGGACGGCTTCAGCCTCAACTTCTGCCACGACGGCGCGGATGTATGAGCATGAATAGGTATTGATACAGTATGTAGAAGAGGTCGCTCCTTATCGTGGCCTGGGATCCACGCACGCCGAGTGCAAATGAGTTGAAGGGCGGTCGGACGGACGGCACGCCAGCTCCGCTCTGCTCTGCTCTGCGACTCTCCGAGCTATGCACGCACGCACACGGCCGCGACGTCGCTCCGGCTCGCCGAGCGCAATGAGTTGCTTGGTGTGCAGCACGGCGGCGACGACGACGCCATGGTTGTTGGGGAGGTCGAAGAGGTCGTGGGGCAGATGCGTCTACGCCGCTGTCACTGTTGCTGCTGTTGGCACCGCCAGCCGGTGCTGGCGCCAGCCAGCTGAAGCGGCAGCGGCCACTCCGCTCCTACCTTACATGTAGTGACGGTGTCGAGCGGCGGTAGTGGCGATGGTCGTGGTCATGGCAATCCTCAGCCTGCCGAGCGCCGAGTTCAACCTGCGCATGCTTCGAGTTGGCGAGCGGTAGCGGGGCAATGAACGCAACCTTCGGTCAGAAATGGGCCAGCTCGTCACGACGGAGTGATTGCTCCGGAAGTTGCCTTTTTCGGCTGCAGGCACCGGACGCTTTTTTCGGTGCATCGTTCGTTCGGGGGCAAACGGGGTGTGCATGTTACAAACGTGTTATGTCTACTGCGAGTTAAATAGGCCGCGCGGGGGGTCACACAGGCTCAGAGCGCCGCCGCGCGAGAGACCATCTCGACGAGCTCGGGTCGGTGCTGTAGCAGCTCGCGAGCCTCCTCGAGGTAGACCTGTTACACAACAATTCATTAGTTGCTGTTGGTGGTTGCAATCTTCCAGCACAGCCAAACGACTATTGAACGTACCCACTTGCGCTGTCGGGTGTTCTCGGCCCAGTCGAGGAAAACCTGCGTGGCGGCCAGCTTGAAGCCGTAGAATCGGCACGGCTTGCCCTGCTGACTGGCGAAGTCCAGCGTGCCGAGTTCGCCCACGATGTCCCCCGTGACCTGCAGCAACCACAACAACCATAGAGCAGTTAGAACCACGTGAACGGACACCGAGACGCTCGACTAGACAATTAGGCAGACGCACCCCCGCTTCTTCGTCGGCTTCACGCAGAGCGCACTCCGCCGCAGACTCGTCGTTCTCCCACCCGCCCTTGGGCAGGATCCACTGCGTCGGGTGCTTGGAGCTTGAGATGAGCAGGAACTCGACGGCAGCAGCGCCACGTTGACGGCGCGAGACGACGATGCACGCCAGCAGCCGCGTGTTGCCGTCATAGCGCTGCTTGTCGCGCCCCACGCGGGACTGCAACAGGCGGCTGGCGAGGCGCTTGTCGTCGAGGAGCAGCTCCTTGTGCATGCCGGTGGGGCTCCGTTTGTTGGGTGGCGACAGCGCGGGCTGCAGCACGGGGTCCGCGGCGTCCGAGGGGCGCTCACTGTCGATGGCTGGGCTCTCAGTCATGGTGACGAGGGCGCGGAGAGATCAGGAGTAGGTGGAGGAGTGCGGGATTATTAAGGGGGAACGCTGGAAGCGGCGATGGCAGCTTGGCGGAGCAGGAATAGCCTGCGTCCAGCAGCGTGAATTCTGAAGCAGCTGGCGCGTAACGGAAGTAAAGTAACGGTTGTCTCATATTAAAATAACTAATACCCGTCAAAACCGTTTTCAGTAAATGAATTTTTGGCTCATTAAAACCTTCGGAAACTAATGCTTATCTAAGGACTACTTGGTTAGTCGACGGTTGCAGAATTACAGCGCTTTTCGGTTGTTGCAGAATCAAAGCGCTTTCGACGTCCCTGCGTGCCAATACATCGGTTCATTCGGTCGACAAGTACTTGACTTTCGCCGCCAGTTGCCAGTTGCAGCAGCGCCACTGCATATTTGTCCGTTGTCTGCTTTTTAAGGACGCAAGGTTCATGAGCATAGACCAAGAAGCACCACACGTACTTGTGGTGAAGTTAAGCCGGGGCTCAGCAGCCTGTTGCGCGACTGGGGCAATGTTGTATCCAACGTAAAGTTATTAAAATAACTTTACGTTGGATACAACATTGCAAGGGATACCATTTAAATTGTATCCCTTCAAAGAGACACGTGTTGTCCTCGTTCATTTGAAATTCACCTCGAAAAGCTTGTGCTATCGCGGCTGATGCGGCTTCGACAACGCTTTATCATATCTGGGGCGACTCAAGGCTTCTAGTTTGGCTGCTATCGCTCGGTAGGCCGATGAGAAGTAAAAAGGGTCGTGGGAGAAGATAGCGATTGCGCTCAAGCACCATACAACTTGGTTTGATTTGGTTGCAATTTCGAAGCCTCGGCACCGCGCGCCGATGGCTTATATTACCCGCGGTAGGATTCCTACCGTAAGAATATGAAAAATGTCGATTTTGTTGAGAATCTAAAAATCTCCTGGACAAGAGAAACATGCGCACCGCCATTCATACGGGTATCGGGCTTAGTACGTGCAGCCGCGAGGGCAATGTAGTCACGATAAGGCTCCAAGTTTTTATCGGGGTGGCCCATAAGCACATTGAAATGGGCATTTCATTTCCATTTTGATAGTGCGGTATATTGTGTTCGTTTAGGGCTCTGATACCTACTGATCAACAAATACCCGAAGCTAATACCCATACGCGTTGTCAACTGTGGTTGTGCCGTTTCTCCTAAGGATGACAGTCCTGCCACTTCGCTCTAATAAGTGTGGCATCCCAGTTTGCCTCTCGCCTATGTCTCCGCATTGTACAGGGCGCGACTTGGCTAAAGATACTGTAACTCAACTAGGTTACCATGGCCTCGAGCTTAGATATCGAAAGTCTCGGCAGCATCGCGACAACCTACCAGGTGAATGAAGTGTGAGGTTTACAGTCTTCGCGCACGAAATATTTCAGTGAGAAGAAGCTTGATCTCATGACCGCCCCAAAGTGGAAATTGAATATGTAGACTTCCTCGAACCATATCGAATCATTTTGACCGTATGGGCACCGCTCCCATACAGCGCGAATAGATCCAAAGGCCTTCGCATAGGTTCCAACTGGTGGCCCGTAGTGTGACAGGCCACTGTCACACAGGCGCCACCGCGTGTGCGCGGTGGCCAATTAGAGCCCATTATAGGTTTAATGGCTGGGACGGTCTCGAGTGCCGAGACCGTCTCGGCCCTTAATACCAGAGTTCAATTTGCCTTCTACTTCCTCTGCTTGTGTAAGCACGTAACGGGCTGCAGTTAGCCCGTTACACCTGGTAGTACTTCGCTAATCCGTCCAACGCCCAAGCTCGTGATGAATATGAACGACACGTCGATGCCTGACGCGCCCCGGACGACTGCCACTTCACTGGAGCACGCCAGCTTTCCTCACCTGTCGGCGATCGAGTGGGAGGCGCTACACCGCCTCGCAGCGGTGTCTGGTGACGCTGTGATCAAGACACTGCTGACGGCGGGAACCGAGGAGCAACAACGCCTGGCCGCCCAGGAGTTCATGGGGCGTGAACTCGCTGACCTCCGTCAGCGAGTGTCGACTCCCGCAGACCAAGAACAAGTCCGACATCGTGAAGCTCGATGTCTCCACGTACAGCGGTGAAGGCGAGGGCCGCCTTCACCTGAACCGCTGGTTCTGCGAGGTGGACATCGCGATCGAAGCTCGGCAGCTGTCTACCGAGCTTGCGCGCACGCGCTTTCTCCTGTCCAAGCTGGCGGGGAAGGCGAAGGAGTGGGCGCTCGGCAAGCTCGTGGCCGACGCTTCCTGCTTCCCGACCATGACATCGATGAAGGCTGACTTGCGACTCCCGTTCGAGCCGCCCCAAGATGAAAGCGTTCAGCGCTCCGCCTTCCTGGCGTTGAAGCAAGGACGAATGTCCATGCTTGCGTACATCCAGCGCGCACGACACCTTGTGTCGTGCATCACGACGCATCCCGTAGACATGGCGACCCAAGTCCACGTCTTCATCTCCGGCATGAGCGCTGGCTACCAGCGCTTCTACCTGACCCAGAAGACCCCACCGACACTCGAAGAGGCCTTCGCTGTTGCGCTCCGTGAAGACTACAGTGTGACGGCGTCGCAGGCTTTCGATGTCTCTCGGGCTCCAGTGCCCGATCCGGAGCCGATGGAGGTGGATGCGATTCAACAGTTCGGTGGACGTCGGGTGCCGACGTCATCAGCAAGGCCTCCAACGGTCTCGTCAACGCGCAGTCCCCGCCCGATGCGCTTCTACCGCTGTGGGAAACCTGGACATCGCACCGCTATTTGTCGCGCTCCGGCGCCGATGCAGGCGAACGTCACGGTCGCAAACGACGTCGCCGTTCCAAAAAAACGGCGACAACCAGTAGGTGCGGGGCGCCCTACTGGATGTGGAAGGAGCGATGGTTCTCTGGTGGCAGAACCTCCTCCTAGCCCTCCCGTGGTTCATGCACAACTCTTTGCCACTACCTCCGGCAGTGACACGAGGCTGATCGTGCTCAGCCTCCACGTGGACGGCGCGACGCCCCCTCTTCGCGCGCTGCTGGGCTCGGGCGCGACGAACAACTTCGTTCGCGCCGAGAGCTTGTCGGTGTTACCGGCGGACATGAACATTCGCGACGGGCCTGGCGACATGATCGTGAAGTACGCTGATGGGAAGCCGCGGCGCTCGACGACCTTCGCGTACGAGTTCGACGGGTTCCACAGTTCTGAGGAGTTCTTGGTGATCGAGCTGAGCCGGTCGTCTTCGGCATCCCGTGGCTCGCCCGCCACCAGCCTGAGATCAACTGGCTGACTGGCACAGTCCGCCCCCGAGACATTGATGTAAATGCAGTATTGGCGTTCCTGTGCGGAACGCCTAACCAATGGCCGCATGTTGCCGTCATGGACCCCGACTCCATGACCCATGCTGCGCACGAAGCGAGCGATGGCCCTTCGTGTGCGGTGTGCGAACTCGCAACCTGCGCCGGTCCTGAGCAGGAGCCTCAGGACGTGTCTGACGTGGTCGAGCATGGGTTCCCACGTCCCTATCAGCAGCAGGGCCCAGTTGAGTGCTGGTAAACGCACCATGTTCCGATTGGAGAGCGCTCATGCCGAGTTCGAGGTGTAGCCGAGCTGAGGCTGAACACGCTTCACAGCTGAACCAAAGAGACTGAATTCAAACTGAGTTTGAACGCAGCCGAGCTCGCGGCGAGCCGAGTTGGAATGTGACCGAATGAAGTGCTGTTCCAGTCGAGCTTGCCCACCACCATCCCAACCAAGCTGAGCCCAGTCGGGGTAAGCTGGTCTAACAGAGCGGGGGACATGCCGAAGTCAAGGTCCGTTGACCACTGAACCCAGCTCGGCCCGTTCAGAACAACTCGACTGGAGCATCAAACGCATCAGGATCGCCTTGTTCGGCTATAAAATGACACAGCAACGGTGAGAGCTAACTCAACGCACCAAAGTGAGTGGGGCAAACACTTACCAGGCTAGTTGAGCCGATCAAGCGGAGGTTGTGTTCAAGTCCAGCCGAGTTCAAGGTCAGCGGATAGCAGCTAGTCGTCAGGACAGCCGAGTTCGGACAAAGCTGAGTTCAACTTGCTGCTGCACTTCTCGCCAATAAGCTCAGCTGGGGTGGATTTCGAGCTCAGCGCGGCCCGATCGGGGAAGCGTTTCTTGACCCGCCGAGTTCCCGGTGCCTTGTAGCGTGCCAAGACTACTATCAGGCTCCACTCGACGCACCGAAACGAGAGGCACGTGCTTACCTGGTCAGCCGAGTCGCTGGCAGCGTCCATGGCTGCTCATTTTGACGGAGACAGCGATGCTCGGCTTCGTCGGTATTGCAGCCATCGAGCACTTCCCCGACACCTGCATCACCTACTTGCTTTGCTGCGGCAGGCCCAACATCACCGGTAGTACTCCAACCTTCGACAGGGGCACCAGCTGACTTCGTCTGGTTCAGTTCCTGCCACCGGCTGCCACGCCGAGACGACCATCCAGGCTGATTCGCTGCTGAAGTGACCCGACGACGGGGTTTGGTGCGAGCGATAGGGGCACCTACATGTGTACAGACCCATGAGGCGCGGAGTCCACGCATCAGACAAGGCCTATCTATACCAAAGATCAAGGCTCAAGCAAGTCTGACCTTCACGGAACGAGGGCGTCAAGCTGGCGTTGCGGGCGTTTCTCGCCACTCGAATTCGGGAAATGTGAACTCAGAGTGTTTGCGATAGATCTGATTGGACGAAATCAAGCGTGCGACACATCCGGTTGGCCAGGCCACTCACCACTCCGGCTCGTAGCATGGCCGGGACAGTTCTGGTGTAGGGAACATCAAGTTTTGTGTCACACTCCAAGGCCGCAGTGGAACAACGTACCAGGAGCCAAGTACTATTCGGCAGGATGACCGTCCGCCGAGCTCAGTGGGCTGATGGACCGCTGAACTCGGCTGATGGTGTCAGAAACTCAAGGCACACCGGCCCCGACCTGGTGACACGTGGCAGACCCAGTGATGAAGACCCAGCCGAGTTCAGG